CTTTCTCGTTCTCCTTGTACTTGCGCAGCTCCTTCGTGGAATCGAGCGGAAAAGGAAGATCAACGACGCTCACAATGAACATATTTGACTCACTGTACGTTCAGCCTTTCCTGAAAAGCGTAGATGGTAAACCGGATGATTTATTTAAAATTACACAAACTGTTATTCCACTGATATCCTGTGGTCACCGTGACAACAGGACATCTTTCTACAGATACAGCAGCTGAATGGATGTGATTTTTTCCCTCTCTTCCTGTTTTAGGGATCTCTCTTCTTCGGGTTATTGTTACCTTTTCTCCATTCTCTCATCCTTTTTCAAATTTAATCTTTTGTTCCTTTTTTTTCCTCTTTTTTTTTTCTTTTCCTGTTCCCCGGTCAGGTTTGGCATTAACCATCTTACTTCTGTAACAATAATAAATCTTAAATAAATAATAAAGCTGTACTGGATGGATCTCACCCTGACAGGCCTGACAGAGCACTCAGATTACAATTATGTTGCCATAATGCTAAACACGCCAGGGGGTAAAATTATTATTTTTTAAATGAATAAATCAATAAATCTAAAATAAAATGACACAAACTAGCCGTCCTGTTATTTTCGTAGAGAGTCTGAAAACAATACATCGTGGGGTTCCATTAGAAACGCATATTTTCCATAAATTTGGGTTTACAGACGTGGCCCATCGCCCGGTCTCACCTGGCATTTTCCCTCCAGCTCTCTGAGCTGCTCCTCCTTCAGCTTCGTGTCCAGGCTCAGCTTTTTGCACTCCGTCTCCAGCTCCCTGATGCGGCCGCGGAGAGAATCGGTGGACTCCACTCTGAGGCGCAACAAAGAGAAAACAAAAAAACCCCAAAACAAAACAGTTGTTTTTTTTAGTTTGTTTTTTTTAACCCCAAACAGCCGGTCCAACAGTGAGCGGCATAACACTCCTCCACCCCCCCCCCCTCACACACTATAACCCCCCCACCGCCCCAACCCCCCACACTTCAGTTTTGTTTTCAACTTATTGTTTCTTTTAGCAATAATAAGTACAATATATATTTATATACAGTGGGGGAAATAAGTATCTGACCCCTTGCTGATTTTGCAGGTTTGCCCACTTACAAAGAATGCTTATTTTTCCTCATCAGATGGTTATCAATCTTTATAAATTCATATGATGTGATTTTCTGCAATTTCGTTTGGGATTCTGTCTTTCACTGTTAGAATGTACATATGATTAAAGTT